ATGAACATATGCAAATGACAAATAAACATATAAAAAATTTTCAACATCATCGGTTATTCAAGAGATGTAAATTAAAACAATGCTGGTATTCTGTCCTACACCTGAAAGAACGACTATCATCAAGATGTTAACCAATAACAAATGCTGGAGAGGCTGTGAGGAAAAAGCAACCCTTCTCCACTGTTGTTGGGAGTGAAGGCTGGTACAACCACTAAGGAAATCAGTGTGGAGATTCCTCCAAAAGCTAGGATTGGAGAGCCCATTCAAGCCAGCTATTCTCCTCCTAGGTATTTTTCCAAAAGAACAGAAAAGGTCATACCACAGTGATACACGTGCACCCATTTTATAGCAGCACAATTTGTCACAGCTAAATTCTGGAAAGAACCCAAATGCCCATCAACTGAAGAATGGATAAAAAAGATGCAATATTTTTATTCAATTGATTATTACTCAGCTATAAGAAAAGGGAAACTCGAGGCATTTACAGGTAAATGGATGCAATTAGAGACCATACTCAAAAGTGAAATAAATCAGACCTGGATGTGCAAACATCATGTCTCACTAGTGAAATGTAAGTAAAATCTGAAAGGTATAACACATACTGGGAAAGGAAAGAATCTGTTCAATGGGAAGGAAAAACTGAGATGAGAAAAAGGACCAAACAAGGAAAATAAGATATGTATATATGTAGGATAGTTTGGATAATAGTACTGCTGAGTTCTACTGTTTTATTGAAAGGAGTAGTAAATGCTTAAAATTATTTTTTAATTTTTTATAACCTCTCTCTCTCTCTCTCTCTCTCTCTCTCTCTCTCTCTCTCTCTCTGTCTCTCTCATTAATTTTGCAGGTTTATGTTCAGTAACCTAAACAACCAATTTTAAGATAACATTATGTAATACAACAAGCATTGTCCAATTCCCATTACTTTAATGGAATTTTGTATCATTTCTAATTTTTTTTATCATTTTGTATTCTTTTTAAAAAGAATAGTCTCTGCATTACAATCAGTTTTCTTCCAGAAATCTCCATTCAGCCTTCTCAAAATCCATGTACTTTATACACTCCTAATGTACTTAGTAAGACAAAAAAGGATCAGCTGCGAGAATAATCTCATAATTATTTCCCTCCCAGCACAAGCTGAGGGTAATCTCAGAACTATGCTCAATTCCTCCTCCACATGGAAGCTCGAGTCTTTGTGTTGGCAAAATCACTTTTACTTGGGGCCTCTGTCCTCTGAGTACTAAGGGTAGGTCTGGGGACAGAGGACTCAGGCCTGAGGCCTCTTTGTGCGTGGAGCCCGTCCCAAGAGCTCAGGCCCAGGCACAGTGCTTCCGTGCCCTCCAGGAGCACTCACTACCATTCCTCATACAGACAAGGACACAGCAGCGCAACAGCCGTGACTTCATTTGTTCTCGGAAACATCTAACATATGTGCAGAAAGAACCCAGTTTACGAAGGACATTTTCTCTAATCTGTCTCATCAGTGACAGTGGCTTTGGATAAATGCCTCCTTAGACATTGAGCCCCAAGGACCAGGGAGCTGCTTTGGTGCACACCGCACCCCACTTCTACCAGTGCCTGGGGTTCAGGGCCAGCATTGTCAATAGTTGCTGAATATGTGAACAAATTATTGAAAAAGGTATGCTGAGACGAAAGCAATGATACACTGTATGCATCTTTGTATACAGTTAGCGGACACGTGATTAACTCTGTGCTAACTCCTAAGGGAACAAGGAAATGAAATTGCTCTTACGAGAGTATCATAATGTCTAAAGTTTAATATCTTAACATAGAGTTTAACATTCAATTAAGGGGGAAATGGAGGGATAAAATTAACTTTCATTGTCTTCATAGGTGAGATAACTCGTCTGTTTTCCGTTGTTCAAAATTCTCTTTGAAAGAGACAGAATAGGCCAGGGAGGAAGCTCAGTAGAGTAAGCACTTGCCTGGCAAGCACAAGGGCCTGAGTTCAATCCCCAGTTCTCCCCCCAAAAAGAGCTGGAATAAAGTTTTTAAAGTATATGACTCAACAACTGAAAGGGGATTGAGGATCAGAAAATGTTATTATGAAAGTAGAGAATTCAGGAACAGGGTTTAATTTCCACCTAGGTGGTAGTGGTGGAGGAGGATTGGTGAGCAGGACTGTGGGAAAGTGGAAAATACCCAGGCTGAGAAAACAAAGGCTATGAGTGAAGACAGAGGAACACAGATGCTGGGAGAAGCCTAACAGACTAGAGACCATGAGGAGGGGAAAGAGGGACAGGAAGAGCATTTGGAGGAATACTGCTGTGAGGTTGCTCAGAACTGACCGGAACCAGCAAGGCCCAGGCTCAAGAATAACCAAACTCATCAGCTCATCACCTGAGGTAATCCACACTGGACGCCGATAATAACGACCTAGACCAGGGAGGAGGCAGAAACCTCTCAAAGCCACACCAGGCCCTGGGGTGAGGGGGAGCACTGCAGGGAGGGACCAGGAACTCAGAGGAGGTTTAGTCTGGCAAAAGGAAGTCTGGTTATTGGGGGTGGGTTCTGAAAGGGGGACAGTATGACCCAGTTTCCTTACTTCCTCAGCTTCTATTGTGATAGGACCAATCCCATCAGGCACTGGGACCAAAATAAGTCTTTTCTCTCAGTGACTCAACTGGGATAGTTTGTATCAGTGACAGAAAGCTGATGAACACAGTGTCATGGTTGTTTTTAGGAAATACACGGTAAATCACTGGTAGAGGAAATGGTATATTATGTCTGCAAACAACATTTTTTATTTTTTTATTTTTATGTATTTAGTACAGAGTCTACAGGGTCTCACTACACAGATTAGACTCACATTGATCCTCCTGTTTTCAGTCTTCCAAGAGCTGGGATTACAGGCGCGCGCCACCACGCCCAGTCTCAATTTCTGTCTCAGCTCGCCCTGGGAGGCAGGGGTGGCACGGCGTGTCCGGGATCAAACCCCTGTGATTGCGTTTGCCTAAATAGATGGTTTAATCCGCTGAGCTATCTAGCCGGCCTTGCAAACTACTTTCAAAGAGCTTCACAAACCAGTCTACAAACGGAAAAGGGGTGGCGGGGACTGGCCAGATAGCTCAGCAGATTAAAGAACCTCCTTAGGCAGATGCAGGGGCTGGGGTTCGATCCGCGGCTTGTTGTGCCGGCTCCACCCTCAGAGCACGCTGAGACGGCGATTGAGACTGGGCATGGCGGTGTGCGCCTGTAATCCCAGCGTTTTGGGAGTCTGAAAAACAGGAGAATCACTGAGTCTGATCTGTATAGTGAGATCCTGTACTAAATACATTAAACAAACAAACAAACAAACAAAAACAACAAAACAAAAAACAACGCAGGGGAAAAAAAGAGAAAGATAAGAAGTGTGGTCAAAGATAAACAATGTTGACAGGCGGGGGAGGGATAATATTTTTTTCTGGTACTATGTTAACACTGTGTTAGTAAATTTGGAATTAAGTAAGTAAAGGAGCAGCTGGCTACTTTCACGTTTTGGACACATTTTATAAGGGACTGTACACCACAGGATTTCAGGCAGTTTACACCAAATCACCTGTCAGATTTTCAGGATATGTACTATTTTACAATTCATTTGTTTTTATACCCAGAGTCCTAGTATTTAAAGAACAGCACCTACGTGCAGTCCTAATATAAAATCCATTAAGCAGACTCTATACATTAAAACCTGCATTAGTAGCATTTTAGAAGCAGCCCCAGTGATCCAAAGATATCCTAGACCTAGAATCATAGAAAAACATGTACGGAAAGCACACCTGAGGTTGTCAGGTCTGATTACATTTTTATAAATGAATTAATGACTAAGATAGATCTGAGAAAA